TGGTGCTAATTTCTTTAATTATATGACAAACCCTATTTAACTGGCAGCATTCCTTTAATTTTCACTGAGATTGCAAGATGGTGAGCCGTTCTAAAATGACTGAAACCCTCCGACAGCATGTTGTCCAGATGAAGGCAAAGAGGATAACCCTTTCAGTCATTGCAAGAGAAGCTGGTCGTTATAAATCTGTGATTTCTAGAATATTGCATCTTTACAATGACACTAATTCATTCAAGTCCCCCAAAAAGGCTGGTCAGTCATCCATGACAGAATCACTGAACCAGGGTAAGGATCTGTCTCGGCACGTTTAAGGGGATTCGGACTGAACGCCCACTCTGCAGTGACCAAGCCTCTCATCCAGGGGCGCGGGAAGATGTTTTCAGTTGGGGGTGCTGTGTGTGTCCGTGCTGGGGGGGTGGGCTGGTTCACTTATGTCGGTGCTGGGGCTGGTGTTGGATGCTGATTTTGGAAAGTTTTTGCTGGGATGGGCATTTAAAAACATCTGAAATTCGCTTTTGCGCCATTATCTCCTTGTATTAAAGTTAATCTTGTTCGCATTCTGTACAGTTCATGTCTGATACCAGCGTCACGTGTTCATGAGGATTAGGCTAATCATCCCATATAGAAAACATCACAAGTAAAATTTATCATGTTTATAAAGATAAACATGGGTTTATTATAGCCCACTTACAATTTATATTTCAGAGATCATTACAAATAAATTATTAAATGCTAAAACTGAATAAATTTAAATGAACAAACTTGGCGTTGCATTTCCGGTTGCAAAATGTGAAAACAGGGGGTGCTGCAGCCCCCTCAGCACCCCTACTTCCCGCGTCCCTGCTCTCATCAGCAGAAAGAATCAAAAAGATAGGCTCACTTTTGCTGAGGAGCATGTTGTGTGGAGAGGAGAACTGGTCCAAGTTCACTTTAGTGATGAGAGTCAGTGAAAGGTGGAGGAGGAAGAGTCATGGTTTGGGGAATGTTTTGGGCAGCAGGAGTTGAGCCTCTTATACAGCTACATGGCAGAGTGAATGCAAATGTTTTCAACATGCGGTTCCTTCCCTGCGTTCATCGCCCAATCAGCCAGAAATTTGTTTGCAGGACAATGCTCCCTTCACACAGCAAAACAGGTAAAGCAGTTCCTTGAAGCTGAAAAAATTGAAATAATGAAATAGCCAGCCCAGAGTCCTGATCTAAGCCCAACTGAAGTCTCTGGAAAATCTTTGATGACAAAGTTATGGCTAAGAAACCCACTGCAGTCACCAAACTGTGGAAGAAGAGTGGACCAAGATAACAGCAGAGCAGTGTGAGAAATTAGTGATCTCCTGTGGCCGCAGATGTGCTGAAGTCATTCAAATCAAGAGCCTGTGCACTTCCTACTAATTTCTGACTGCGGTAACCTTCAGAAATTGTAGTTATCTTTCTTTATGCTACAATCACTGCTGTTCTCTAATTTTGATCACTGTGTTAATTTAGATTTTTGTTTTCCACAAAGTAAAGAGTTTTTGTTGAGGTGCCTTGGCTATTTTGTAAAACACTGTTCTACTAGTATGGTATAGCTCAAATAAAATTCCTTCAAATTTTGAACGGTGAAGATTACACGATTTCTGAAAAAATTAAGTGTTCATAAATTGTTCTCTAATTTTGACTTCCAATATATATATTCGTGTAAAGATTTTCCAAATTAATGTTTTCTGGAGTTTACAAATTAAGGCATCCGAAAAATTCTTTGAGGCTTAATGAAATTCACTAAAGCATCAGGTCTGCATTATATTCAATAGTCATTTAATTATAACGTTGACAAAGTTAAATCTGTTTTTTGCTTTTTCATCATGTTTTTATTCACTTTCATCAGCCTTTTTAACAGAGGATTTAATGCTGCAGAAATTCTTGCAAATTCACAAAACCAACATGAAGAAGAAAGCAAAGTATATTTTTGAGGGCAATAAAGAAAACGACACAGATCTCGAGACTGTTTACACAGAGCTGTTCATCACAGAGGGAGAGATGAAAGATGTCAATCACGAACATGAGATTCTGAAGATTGATGATGCTTTCATGAACAAAAAAACACAGGACAAACCAATCAAATGCAATGATATATTTACTGAACTGAGGAAAAACAATGAGGAGAAGATTGTGCTGACCAAGGGAGTCGCTGGCATCGGAAAAACTGTCTCTGTGCACAAGTTCATCCTGGACTGGGCAGAAGAAAACACCAATCAGGATATAGACTGTGTGTTCCTGCTTCCATTCAGAGAGATCAACATGATTAAAAACAGAGAGGTCAATCTCCATGAGTTTCTGCTGAAATTTTATCCTGGATTGAAGAACCTGGAGAAATCAAAGTTATATAAGGAATGTAAGCTAGCGTTTATATTTGATGGACTTGATGAGAGTCGACTGCCATTAAACTTTAAAAGTGAAACACTGGACACTTTTGAGGAAAGATCATCTGTAGATGTGCTGTTCACAAGTCTGGTCAAAGGTAAGCTGCTTCCATCAGCTCTGGTCTGGGTGACATCACGACCAGCAGCAGCCAATCAGATCCCTC